AAGATATAGAAAAAATAATAAATATTTATTAAATAAATATATTTTTTAATATTAAATAAAAAGCATTTTAGAAGTTTCAAGTCTTGAAAATAATTAAATATGTGAGTATATATATGTTCATTTAGATTATATAAGTTAAACTAATATTAATATAATAAACTAGTTTTAAAATAAGTATTTGAGTTAATTATTAACATATATTATTTATTATCAATAAATAATATATTGTGATAATAATTAATATATTATTATATATCAATAAATAATATATTAATAATGATCAATTATTATCAATATGGGTATTTATTAAAGATCATTAGAGTTATCAATTAATATCAATATTTTAGAAAGATATTTATCAATTTTTATAGATATGGTAATAATTCTTAATAAATATCTCCAAAAAATTTTCTGATATATTACATAACTTATTATAATATCTATTATATCATGAAAAACTCAATTTAGCAGATCTTTCAATATAATGAAGAAAAGAGTTAGAATTATAATTTCTATTATATCAAGTTTCACTGTGTAATTAGAAAGATATATAAAAATAAGCAAATATAAATAAAAAAATATATAAAAATAAATAAAATTACTTTAATTATTTTAATTATAAATTCAAAAAAATATAAAAATATTATATAATATAAAAATTACTTTTTAATATGGGATATGCTATAACAAAATCAGACAAAGTGAATATTTTTATAAATGAGAGGCTGATTATAATGTGACTGTAAAATTGATCAGTGTGACTAATGATATTTTGAAATAATAGTGCTCATTCATAACTTATAGACTTATTAATTTTAATATTTCCTTTATCATATCAGAATGTAATAAATATAAACTATAACAGAATTAATATAGGATTATTCCTATATAAAAATATAAATATAAAACTAATTTACATTAAATTCACTATGGAATTCAAGAATTATAACACTATTAGAAGTATTCTAAAAAAAGCTCAAGAAAAAAAAATTGTACTATATATTTTTAAAATCAATATTACCCAAACTCTCTGAAAGTATCTAAATAAAGAAAAATACTTAATAAATTTATTAATATTTAAATTACTTTTTTACTTTTAATCAAGATCATCTCTTATTTTCTTTAACTTTAATTTAAGTAACTTGTTAAATCTGTTATTTTCTTAAGAATTCAACCTCACTTTCAAGTCTTTGAATTTTATCCAATAATTCTTGCTTTTATTTATCATATCAATCCTTTGAAATATCTAAGACTTTCAAGTAAGAATTAATTTTTTTCTTAATACTAGCTAGTTGCTATTTTAAATCCTTATTTTATTGTTCTAATCTACTCACATAACTCTGAGCTATTATTTCTATTATGATTGAAGTTTTAACTGATAACTTATTCTTTCTTAAATCACAGAAGCAATCTATTCTATTTCTTATAGCTCAATCACAATCATTATGATATGATAAAGTATTATCATCAAGATCCTTTTTGCAATCAATACAAATATAAGCAATGTTACTATAATCATTATTATTAATATTGTAAGATAATATTTTGTAAGTAATATTTAAACTTTTTTCTTTTTCAAAAGAGCAAAAATTGCAATATTATTTATCTCCTTTTCTTAACTCAATAGCTTGATATTCTAACTTTATTATTTATCCTTTTGTAAGATGTAAGTGTTAAACTTCTCTTGAGTTATTGCTTTTGCTTGCTTAATTCTGCTTTTTACTTTATTAATTAGAAGTTTAAATTTATTTTGTTTCTTTAGTAAAGTTGGCAATTCTTGAAGTTGCTTGTTTGTTAAATAATTTTGTCATGCCATAACATTTTCCAGCACCTCTATTTTTCTTGAAGCCTTTTCTAAGTTGTCATCTTTTTCTTTGCTTTGCCTTACTCTCCATTGTCTAGCTACTTCAAGAGCATCTAAATGGCATTTAGAAATGTCTTCCTCTAATTCTAATGCTTCTTCCCAGACTTTTTGTTCTTCTTCTAATTGCTTATTTATTTCAAGCAATTCATTCCTCTCTTGCTCTAAATTAGTTGTTAATGACTGTAAACTTTTAACTTCTTCATTAGATTTCACTTACCAAGACATTGCATTGTGATGCAAATAAATAAGGCAAACAAAACTTTTTCTAAATTCTTTATCTTCTAAGTGTTCTTTTATTTCCTCTTCAGTTAAAATATTGTTTTGGTTTGTCATGATTTTAATTCCTATATTATTATTTTAATATTAAAAGATTAAATCATAAAGAATTTAATAGTAATAGAAACAAAAAAAATAATAAAATTTACAGTTGACTGAAATATTTTTATTCATTCTCAGTATAGGTTGGTCTTGGACAAGTAATATCCTTGAATTCGTCTCTAACAAATGGGCGAATATTATGATAAAGATATTCTCGTCTTTTATAATCCAAAGGAGACGGAGTTAGAACTAAAATAGAAAAAGATTTAATTTCTTTGATAATTTCGGAAACACTTGCTTTTCTAGTTTTTAACAGATTAAATTCAGTGTACGAACCATTAGCAACCAGCTGAGCTTTGACAATACCAGGTTTGGCTGCTTCGAATACGAAATGCTGATATTTTTGTAAACCGTTTAGTTTTTTAAAAAAAATTCCCAACACGGAATTAAGATCCAAATATTGAAAGCCTTTCTCATTGTCATAACGTTGAGCTTTGTTTAATCCCGCTGTGCTCGATCTTTTCACAACCTCAACAATATGATCCACACAATCTACCGTCGTTTTGCGATATAGTTTCTTAATTAAGCCAAAACTACTATCACACTTAAATTTAGTATGTCCAGGTATCATGAAATTTAATTCGATACTTTCATAGTAGCCACAAATTATTAAATACAGATAAAATCAAATGGTAGCATTATTCTTATTCTGTCCTCCCGCATTATCACAAGTAATCTTTAAACACTTTTCACCTTTATTCAATCTCTTAATTCCATCGAATACCAGGCTCAGCGTACCATTGGGCCCTTTCCCAATAATTTCGTCTTCATCGAGAACGTAATTAATTTGTTCGCGTACTGCTTCATCTTGGATACCAAATAAATGTACTTTACGCGGACTGAGATAATAAATCTTACTTACTTGCTGATCGGAATGGGGTACGTGAACGTTTTGCGCTCAATCGTAGCTGTAATGCGCAGTCGCGTCAATGCTACAATAAGCTTTACTTCTTGTTATAAAATGCTCATCCACCAATTTCCTCTGTAGTTCTGCTAGTTTCGTATTTTTGTTGTAATAATTCCTCTCTAATTTAGCCTTAACTAAATGTTCCGTGTATTTTTTCAGTAAATCTTTTGCTTCTTCTTCCTTGCGAGCATTATACTGTAGGCCGTTCCGAAAATGTTGGCACGTGTCACATAAATCCGTTCTTGGACTCATGATTTGAATATAAGGCGCTAATTGGTGCCATAACTTGCGGAATGCAACATATTTTAACAATTTCAACGTGCTATCGTTTTCGAGACCTGCAATAAAATCACGATAGACCGATTTATAACTCGTTTCGGCTGGCAAAAGTGTAAACGATTGAGTAATGCGATTGACATTTCTACCAGGACTTGGTAGTCCATGAATTTCAGCATAATTTTCGAGAAAATTCTTCACGGCGGTAGCAACGGTTATATCAATGGTTATTTTGGTTTTCCATCGCGGCACTCGTTTGATATTACCATGAACACGCGGTATTATGCCATTTGTTGATAGGTGATTTCTGACGTTTTCGAAGTGAGTACGACCTATTCCTAACATATTGAGATACGTTTTCTGACAAAGCGGCGTATTACGATCTCAATAATAAAAGGTTCTCTTATTAGCACGGTTTTTCCTTTTAAGACGTCGACTGGCAGTTATTTCTCCACCATTCATTGCTTTCAGTTGGGCCATTAAAAATATGTCTTGTTCGGATCTAGAGAGAGCTTGAAATGACTCACGTAATTCAGCGAACCTTTCTCTCGGAATCATTTTTGAGCAACCACAATTGCAACCTATCTCCAAAAAACGTATTGCCTTGTCATATTCGGTGGAACCATTGTATTCGTTATCATTCATATACGGGTAGTCCTATATATATATTTTTGATAATAAACCTATTGTTCATTCGTCAAAGCAGATCTCGTTTTATTTAGTTTACTGCAAACCAGGGAAACATTTACACTAAATAGTGGTAACTAAATTGAGTTCATCTTTCCAACTTGTAATAGAGGCATTTCTCTCTATTGTTAGGTTATCGCATAATACACGTATACTACAATTCCTTCGTCAACATTATAAGGTCAATCTACACCCAGACAGAAAGAGTCTGCCATAAACGTTAATGTTGCTGTACATCACTTCTTTTTCATATCTTCTATAATCCCCGCAATAATGCAAGACACGTGTCGGACTGATTTCTTTGTAGGTAGACCATTATTATCAAATATTATAGACTCTATGCACTCTTTCACATTATCGCTGTCAAGCTTGTTAAAGTACCACAGGGCTGAATTTGTCACTATACCGTAAATATGCGACTGATGTCCGCAATTTATCTACAGTTGTTAAAGAAACTAAATTTTAGTAATACAATTATAGTGAGGGGAAAAAGAACGCCCAATCGCTGCAGCATTAAAAGCCTCAGACATGGAAGTTGGCCTTACCTCATATCCAACTTCACATTCCACATAATTTTGAGCTCTTCCCATAGCAAAATCGTCCGCCTTCGCTTCAAGTATAAGTATGATTTTTTCCTTAACCTTTATCACATACTCCACATTGCCATTCGCAGGAACTTCGATCCCATTCAACTCTTGTTCAAGAAAAATCTTGACATCGCCTACATGTTCTAAGACAATAATTTCAGAAAAGCCTTGATCAAGAAAAGACATGTAGAAAGTCTTGGCCTTACCAGCAATTCTAAACAAGAACACATCAATAAATCTCTCTCTCTTTCTCTCTTTTCCTGAAGCCATCGAACCCAACAGAGACACTCGCGCCTATTGGTTTTAAAGCACAACATCCCTAATCAATTTCCAGCTTGCTCTAAACCTTGCTTTGCAAACTACAAAATTCAATTGGACACTTGCCGTTAATTCCTCGAAGATTTTATCCACCAAAGTATCAGGCAGCGTTACAGATGGTGGTTCAAATCTATCAGGTCCAAATTGATCCAATCCAAACGCATCAAATACTCTAGTAGAAGCCTTGCCAAATTCACTGAATGCTAATTTCCCATCAATTTTCTGTTTTTTGTTGCTTTCTGCGATTTCTATTAACTTTTCAATTCGCCTTTTCCGTCCCACAGATGCAGTACTAGAAATCGAATCTGAGAGAGAGGAACGACCTTTCATCCGAAGTAAAAGTAAGCAATAATAATCATGCAGTCGAGTAATATGCATAAAAACATTGATAAGCATAAGGGAAGTGCCAAAGCAAAATTATAGGCAAGCAACTGTTAAATTTTCATAAGCAAGTCATTACCTGTCGGCGGTGCTGCCATATCGCGAAGCTTCTCACTCCAGTCGAAAACCTCCTTTTCCCAGTCATCTCTCCTTTTTTCCAGCTTCTCTTTCTCCTTCTCTAGCTTCGCCTTCTCCGTCTCCCACCTGGCTTGCTGCGCCTCGGTCCCTTCCTCACTCCACAACTTATTCTCTAACACAGTCAGCCGCTGTCCATATCTCCCATCCCTGAACTCCTCCAACGCCCTCTCCGCCTTCTGCTCCTTATCCTTCGCTTCTTTCAACTCTTGTTCAATACGTTCGTAAGTCGCCATTTCTTTTTTCGTTAGAGAGAAAAAGATGTGCTGCGTGCGATGTGATCTAATATCGTAATAGTAATATATTACGTAAATCTTTCACAATTGCTGCGCTTGTCCATTGTATGCAGAATGACCAATGATAATTGATGCGCAGCAACGCGCTCGTAAGATTTATTACAGAAACAGCACTAGTCACTTATTTTCAGAAAAAGCAACCACATCCTAACAAAGACAAATATCGTTTAAAACGATAAAAAACCAAGTGACAATACTATTAATAGTAATGATAGTAAAGATAAAGAAATTTAAATTAGGTTATACTCATCAATGGCTTTGGGTGCTTTTAATAATATTCATATTTTCAAAAGCGCGTATTTAATAATAAATTTATGCTTACGAAAAAGTTGAAATATTTTTATGTTGTTTGACGTTTTCAATTGCAATTGTGTCAAAGCTCAACGGATGTGCTTAAGCAATCTTTTATCATGACTATAAAGAACGATCTTTGTTTATAGGTCGTTCGATCAGTGGAGGCCTTTTACGTTAAACTGCTTCCCTTTACCTTTCTTCAAGTTTTCGTTTCTTTCTTGGTTCATCATGTGTTGGCATTAACACTCGCTTATTAGTTATTATTTTCCTTTCCTCTTGATAAATTTCATAAGTAATTTTTTCTTGATCTAGATATTCCTGGAGAGTTTGGATATTATTGATTTTAAAGACATATGAAGCAATTTTCTCTCCTTGGGCTTTCTTTAGAATGCTTCTAATGGTGCTGTAATTCTTGGGTTCCATAGTGGATTTAATGTAAATAAGTTTCATATTTATATTTTTATATAGAGACAATCCTATATATATTAATCCTGTTATAATTTATATTCCTCACATTCTGGTATGATAAAGTGAACATTAAAATTAACAAGTTCATAAGCATCATTATTACTTTTCAAAATGTCATCAGTCATGCTAATCAATTTTACAGTCACATTATAATCAGCCCCTCAATTATAGAATATTCACTTTGTCTGGTTTTGTTGCAGCATGTTTCATATAATAAACATAATAATATATTTAATTAAAAATATTTAATTCTATATAACTTTGATATTAAAAATTTTTAGTTTTAAAATTTTGAAATAATTAAAAATTATTTTATTAAAATTTAAATATTTTATATAAATAACAAAAAATTTAATATAATTTAATAAAGTTAATTAAGAAATAAATATATATAATTATTATAGAACTAATCTTCTTTTCTCTTTAGATGAGATTTTTATATTTGATTAGCTACTTATTTTAATTATATGAAAGATAAGATTTTTGAAATTTTCTCTCTCCTTTCTTAATAATTACGTGATATATATTTATTCTTTTATTAAAAATTAAATTTTAATTTAATTATTATTTATATATAATAATAAATTTAAACTTTTATTATCTTAATAAATTATATTAAAATTTTAAAAATTATTAATATATAGTATATTATTATAAACTATATTCTGAAAGATAGGTTTTATCACAAATATAGTTTATAATAAGTTTGAGAGTGAAAACTAAATTATTTATAAAGGTTAAGAAAATAATAATTATTCTAAAGATTTTCTAGTACTAATACTTATAAGTATTATATCAATACTAGTAATAGAAATTACAACTAATTATAACTTTATCACAATTCTCTGATTGACTATCATAATTTTATCACAATTTTCTGATTGACTATCACAAGTTATAACTAGTTCTTTAATCAACACAAGATAAAAATAAAATAAAATGAAAATATAAAAATGAAATTATGATCACAAAATACTAAACTAAAAGATAATACCAAAAACTAAAGTAACAAATACTATAACTAAAACAAAAGATTTAGTATGCTAACTAAACTTTTTAATAATATCTTTTCAACTGTTAGACAAATAAAGAATATATATCAAAATAAAATAAAGCTTTTATACATAAGAAAGCTTACAAGAATCTTCTAAATTAAACAAATATATTTGACTTATTTTAAGTAGAGGATATTCACTATCTAAGTTTTTTAGACAAAAAAAACTTATAAATAATCAAAATATAATCTATTATAATAGAAGAATTAAATAAAAACAGAATATTAAGATAAAAATCAAAGAAAAATTATAAGATAAGTATAACTCAAGTATTTTCAAAAGATAATTAAATTATTACT